GGTCCCAGAACATTGTTCTTAATGTTCTAATAGAATCTCCATGAAAGGACTCATAACCATTTGGTTAAAGTTCCCCTCCCGCCCGTCCCTCCTTCTACTTCAGTGATGGCAGCTGGGGTGTTCAGCTTCGTCTCTGGTTGTGCAATCGTCCTAAATTGGCCGCCCTCTCTGGGCTGCTGAGAACTTAGCATTTCCTCAGCAAGCAGGCCGGGAGTCTAGGATCTGAGATGTGATAAGAAAACTTCCACTTTTGTGGGCAAGGGCTGAACAAACAGCACAGCATGAGCCCTCTATGGAAACCGAGGGAGGAAGTGCCACTGTTGCTGGGGTCCCCAGATGTCAGCAGCAGCTTCACCCCAAAGACAGGGCCTAAGAACAACCCAGCTCCCTGGGAAGCTGTCCTCCAGGTCTTCCAAATTCTGAAGGCTTAAAAAAATGACCACATATTTGCTCATGATTTTATGGATCAACAACTGGGGCTGGGCTCAGCTCCCTTCTCCTGTGGTCTGGGGTCACCCATGCAGCTGCAGGCCTCCAGAGGCTGCACTGGAGCTGGATGCTCCAAGATGGCCTCACACTTCTGTCTGGTTCTTAGCTGGGAGCCTCCATCCTCCTCTGTGAGGCCTCTCATTCTCCAGGGGGCTAGCCTGAGCTCCTGGACGTGGTGGCAGAGGGTTCCAAGAACACAGGAGCAGAAGCTATAAGGCCACTTGCGGCCAACTGTCAGAAGGCACACACTGTCATTTTGGCCACATTCTAGTGGCTGAAGAAAGTCCAAGGCCAGCCCAGAGTTAAGGGGTGGGGAAACAGCCTTGACCTCTTGTTGGGAGGAGTGCATACACTCAAGGCAGTTGAGGGTGGGAGGACTTGTTGCAGCATATCCGCCAGCAACACACCTGGTGACACCAGGCTTTCATGTGTAGCACTCCTATCACACCATCGGATGCCTGGCAGCGTGGGCAGATACAACATTTCACCAAAAAGAGCCCCATCTTTCTCGTAGTCCAGTGTCTGTCCCTGACATGTCACTTTTCAGTCTACACAGGGCTAAAACAGCTAACATCTATATAGTGCTTCCTACATTTCCGGAACTGTTGAAGGCACATTTAATGAGAGTAGCAATTCTTATGAAGTTGGTACTATGATCATGCCCATGTTACAGATGAGGAAACTGAGGCATAGTGACTTCAGGAACTTGTCCCAGCTCACAGTCAGTAAACAGTGGAGCTGAGATTGTGGGCTTTGCAACCCACCCTCTTGAGCACCCCACTCTACTGCCTTTTGAGGGTCTGCCTTGGAGGTATCTAGAGGCATCTGCTGCCTTGGCATTCCTCTCTCCTTCCTTGTCTAATCCGAGGGGGCCAAGTCCAGTGATTTGGAGGGGGATGGTGGCTGTAGCTCATATCCCTGCCCCTCTCTCTCCCCGATTGCAGCAGCCAGGGAGGCCAGCAGGCAAGGCTTGGCATGAACATCTAAGCTCCAGGGCTCACTGGGGAAGGAGGCAGTGAGGACTTGATTTGTCTTGATGAGGTGGGCGACTGTCGACAGGGACCAGCAGCAAAGAGGAGACCTTGCCTGATCTTGTGCTCTGGGGAAAGTGCAAGTACGTGAGGTTCCCCACGAGGACTCAGCCAGAGCAGACGGGAGGGTGGGGCAGGTCTGTGCAGTTCCAGGTACCAACCGAAGGCCACTGGTTAGCACTTCCCTCACCATATATCCCTGTGTACACACACACACAATTTCAATTATGTCCTCTTTTTTTGAGCCCAGCTCTCAGTGCTCTCAGGTATAAAGTCAAGTCCAAATAGGTGGTCATGTGACTTGTCACATGAGCTGAGCCTGTGTCCAACTTCAATCTTGCCACTGGAACTGTCCACTGGGGACAACACCACTGTGTCACTCCCACCAGGTATCTGCCAGAACTCCAATGGGCTTTGATCATGTACAAGAAATCCTTGTAAATTTCTGCATCACTTACAAGAAATCCATGTTTACCCCAGCATCTCCCAATTGGCCCAGGTAGAGCATCCAGGGGGCAGAAGCTTCTCCACCTGTGCTTGTGCTCTGGCTGCCAGCCGGCAGGGAGAGGACTGACTGTCCTTCAGCTCCCATGGTGGGAAGGAGACCCTTCCCTCTGTTTACTTGACAACTGCAAAATAATCAGGTGTTTGGATTCTAGATAGCTGAGTATAAGGCAAATTTCCATTACATATGAATTTTATTGTTTTCCACTCAGTATTAGCCGAATCGATTTGTGTGGTTGTTTTTAAGACTTTTTTTTTTTTTTTGGCCATGCCATGCACCTTGGGGGATCTTAATTCCCTGACCAGGGATTGAACCCGGGCCCATGGCAGTGAAAGCACAGAGTTCTAACCACTGGACCCTCAGGGAATTCCCAAGACTTTATTTTTTTAGAGCAGTTTTAGGCTCACCGTAACACTGGGAGGAAGGCACAGGGATTTTCCATAGATCTGCTGCCCCTACACATGCACAGCCTCCACCATTACCAGCATCCCCACAAGAGCAGTTCATTTGTTGATGAAAGAGATTCGTTTTTACATTAAGAAAATTGGTTTGAGGACTTCCCTGGTGGCACTGCAGTTAAGAATCTGCCTGCCAATGCAGGGGACATGGGTTTGATCCCTGGCCCGGGAAGATCGCACATGCCGCGGAGCAACTAAGCCCATGTGCCACAGCTACTGAGCCTGCGCTCTAGAGTCCGCGAGCCACAACTACTGAGCCCACGTGCCACAACTACTGAAGCCCGCACGCCTAGAGCCCATACTCCGCAACAAGAGAAGCCACCGCAATGAGAAGCCCACGCACTGCAACGAAGGGTAGCCCCCGCTCACCACAACTAGAGAAAGCCCGCATGCAGAAATGAAGACCCAATGCGGCCAAAAATAAATAAGTAATTTTTTTAAAAAAGAAAAAATTGGTTTCAGATTTGCGGATTCAAAACGTAATGGACACTTTTACCAATGACTGTATTTTCTACAGATGAGCAGATTTCAATTGTGAATTCGCAAAGGACCAGTTCCTGCATTTGGACCTGTGTACGTGCCATAGTAATGCTCAACTAAATACAAGTATACTAAGGGGTGGCTAGTGTTAAAAGAAAACCACAGGGAAGAAGAGGGGTTGCTCCCACCCCTGCTCCTGTGGGAACTGGCACTTTATCTCTCCAACTGAGAGATATAAACACAAAATTGAAGTCCATCTACAACCCAAGTGAGAATTTTCTAGTGCATTTGCTTTATGCCGAACATCACACAGTAGGTTAGCAAATTTGAATACCACAAAGTTTACAGACTAGTAAAGCAACTTTGACACAATTTAAATTTCTCCAGGAACTCGGGCTGCACATGAAGACTTTGAAGTGTCCCCCACTATGAACATAAATTATTACTGTAAATTCTCTATGGTATTTTGATAGCTTTTAATGATATTTAGAGTATAGATAAATGGGAACATATTTTGTTCTGAGTTGTATATACATTTGGATAGATAGGAAAGAATAAACACAGATCATAAGACAGAAAGGGAAAGGAAGTATGTACTTGGTGTGTATCCACTAAAACACAGACATACATTCACACCATAATCATACACCATTTCAAGGATACCTCAGTCCATGGTATTAGCTAGCATTAAGAATTTCCACGGATGGGACTTCCCTGGTGGTCCAGTGGTTAAGAATCCACCTTCCAATGCAGGGGATGCAGGTTCGATCCCTGGTCAGGAAACTAAGATCCCACATGCCACAGGGCAACTAAGCCCACGCACCGCAACTACTGAGCCCGCGTGCCGCAAACTACAGAGCCCACATGCTCTGGAACCCGCATGCTGCAACTAGAGAGAAGCCCTTGCACCTCAACGAAGATCCTGTGTGCCGCAACTAAGACCCGACGCAGCCAAAAATAAAATAAAATAAATAAATTATAAATTTTTTAAAAGAGATCCTGTTGCATAAATATATATTAAAAAAAAAAAGAATTTCCATGGAAACAGTGTAGCAGAGGGATTAAGAGTTCAGACTCTCCTGACTTGTAAGCTGCTCATTCATAGGGGTATACCTTGAGAAGCCAAAGTGACGAAAAAAGTCAGCGTACTGGAGACAAGGATTTGCGCAGGAAGGAGTCAGAAATCTTCACAGAAATCTGAGTCTATTGGTGAATACTAATTTGAGCCAGTATAGTGCAAGAGTACACAAAGCCAAGCAAAGGAAAACCACCAAAGAAAGAACAACTACTAAGAATCGGGGAGCTGAATGAACCAGAGCTCACACAGCTCAAAAAGTCATGGCCAGTGACGCCAGATGGATACTCGGATCTACAAGAAGACAGCAAGAATTCTGGAAATGATAAACACGTGGGTAAATATTTCATTGCTCAATGTTTTTGAAAGATGATTATTTAAAGCAAAGACAACAGTGATGAACTATAGGGTGTTTAACACACGTAGAAGTAAAATGTACAAAAATGTAATTTTGTACAATAATGTATTGTACAAAAATGTACAATAATGTTCCCATCCAATACAAAGGATGGGAAGGGGAAATGGAAGTATACGGTTTCTACATTATATGTGAAATGGCATGCTGTCATTTAAAAGTAGACTATGATAAACTAAAGATGAATATTGTAAACCTTAGAACAACCATTTTCAAAATAACCCAAAGAATACAGCCAATAAGGCA